TCTTGACCTCGTGATCCACCCGCCTCGGCCTCCCAAAGTGCTGGGATTATAAGCGTGAGACACCGCACCCAGCCTTGGAATTAGTTTTACCATCAGGCTTTCTTAATTATCTTTCACTGTTCTATTACCCATTATTTACTTAAATTCAAGGTACCCATGGGTTAAAGCAGTAAAGCAAATATACTCATTTCACCCATCTCTTCATGTATGTAGGTGTGCATGAGGGAATCTATACAGATGTTAATTTGTTCTTTCATACAGAATTATTTTAGCTGTTTTGAGGAAGCACTGCTGGGTGTTTTAGTAGATATAAAGGATATGGACTTTTGTCCTTACTATGTAGTTGTTTAAAATTTAGCTAATTCATTCACATATGTTGAACACCTGTGTAGTGCACACTTGGCCATGCACTGGGTTATGGAGATGAAAAAGGATTGTTGCTCTAAAGGAGCAGAGAGCCTAGAAGAGGAAACAGACATGAATAAAGAATTACACTGAAGCCATATATATGATAAAGGTGAACGGCAATGTTGTAATATTGTGGAAACATAGCCTTGGGGAGGGGGAATAGGAAAGCTTTCTTTTTTTTTTTTGAGATGGAGTCTTGCTCTTGTTGCCCAGGCTGGAGTGCAGTGGCATAATCTTGGCTTACTGCAGCCTCCTCCCCGCCCTGGTTCAAGTGCTTCTCCTGCCTCAGCCTCCTGAGTAGCTGGGATTACAGATGCCCCCCCACCACGCCCAGCTACTTTTTTTTTTTTTCTCTTTAGTAGAGATGGAGTTTCGCTATGTTGGCCAGTCTGGTCTCGAACTCCTGACCTAGTAATCTGCCCGCCTTGGCCCACTGAAGTGCTGGGATTACAGGTGTGAGCCACTGCACCCGGCCTGGAAAGCTTTCTATAGGAAAATGTTTGAGATGAATTTTGGAGAACAAGAGATGAATTTTGTCAGGTGAAGGGAAAGATGGGATAGGGGAATGTGAATAGGGATACTTAGGCAAGAGATGACGGAATACAGTTTAGCATGGGCTTTGGAACTTCACAGATCTGGGCTTAATCTGGCACCATCTGTATGGTCTTAAGACAAGTCTCAGAACCTTTGGTTCCTTGTCTATAAAATGGATAATACCACTTTTGTAGGTGTATTGTGAGAGTTAAAGAGGTGTGTAAAAGGTTGTAGTCAGTGCTTTACCTATTTTTTGATGTGTCCTTTAGGAAGAGTATACTGGCAGCATTTGGATAATGGGTTGAGGAAGGAAGAAAGAAAAATAATACGGAGACCAGTAAGGGGCTGTAGTGCCAACTCAAGAGGAAGATGAAAAAGAGGCAAACAAGAGCATGGGCAGTGAAGAAGGCGGGGGAAAGGAGGCAAATGGGAGACTGTTCAGTGAGAAACAGCAGGATTTGGTAACCGATTGGAAGAGGTTAGAGAATACTGGAAGGGGAGGGGAGTGACCTATGATTCCAAAATTTAGAGCTTTGATATAATGGTGTTTAACCTTGGGCATAAGGAATGTAGGAATTGGAACTAATTTTGGAGGGGCACGGGGTAAATAAAGATGAATTCAATTTCTAATCTTCTATGGTATCTTTGTCCATAGAAGATTAGAATTTATAAACTATAGATGGGAATAGTAGCTACATAGATACAGAATTACTGACAGCAATAGAATGATGACTGAGACAGGGCATTAGAGGAGGAGAGAGAAAAATTAAAAAGCAGACCCATGACCCTCAGTAATAAATACATTAATGTTTTACAGCTCTTACCACATACAAGGAACTTTAATATTCTTTTTTTTTCCTGAGACGGAGAAAGACTGTCACCCAGGCTGGAGTGCAGTGGTGTAATCTCGGCTCACTGCAACCTTTGCCTCCCAGGTTCAAGTGATTCTCCTGCCTCAGCCTCCCAAGTGGCTGGGACTACAGGCACATACCATCACACCCTGCTAATCTTTGTATACTTTGTAGAGTTGGGGTTTCACCATGTTGGCTAGGCTGGTCTCGAACCCTTGACCTCATGATCTGCCTGCCTTTGCCTCTCAAAGTGCTGGGATTACAGGTGTGAGCTACTGCACCCGACTTGAACTTTAATATTTTCTATTCTATTTTATTTAAAAATTCTGATTGTAGCCCACTGTTGATTTCGTGACTAACCATGAAATCAACATGGTTTCACTCTTGTTGCCCAGGTCAGAGTGCAGTGGCATGATCTCGGCTCAACGTCTGCCTCCTGGGTTCAGGTGGTTCTTCTGCCTCAGCCTCTCAAGTAGCTGGGACTACAGGCATGTACCACTGTGCCCGGCTAATTTTGTATTTTTACTAGAGATGGGGTTTCACCATGTTGGTCAGGCTGGTCTCAAACTCCTGACCTCAGGTGATCTACCTGCCTTGGCCTTCCAAAGTGCTGGGATTACAGGTGTGAGCCAAGTATACCTCCTTTGATTATTTCTTTTCTTTTATGTCTTTCTGGATACTCTTGTTAATCACAGAATAAAAATCATAGATTGATCTTCTTTGGTTCTTAACTTTTTTTATTTTTTCTATTTTTACCTTTTCACCTACTCCAAGGCTTTCTACTAAGTTGTTTTAATTTAATCATAATTTTAGTTCCTAGTGATTATTTCATAAATCTCTGATTGCCTCCTAGCCAGAGCAGTCTATTGTTGTAGAAATGTCTGTAATCCCAGCACTTTGGGAGGCCGAGGAGGGCGGATCACCTGAGGTCAGGAATTTGAGACCAGCCTGACCAACATGGAGAAACCCTGTCTTTACTAAAAATACAAAATTAGCTGGGTGTTATGGCGCATGCCTGTAATCCCAGCTGTTCGGGAAGCTGAGGCAGGAGAATCGCTTGAACCCAGGAGGCAGAGGTTGCTGTGAGCTGAGATTATCTTGGGCAACAAGAGAGAAACTCCATATCAAAAAAAAAAAAAAAAAAAATTAAAGAAATGCAATTATTTTCTTGAGTTTGTCTGAGAAAACGAATTAGAATTTCAAAAAATTATCTGTCATCTCTGTCCATTTTTTCTTCTTGTTTTTTTTCCTGTCCATTTTGTATTTTTGATTTTCAGAATGTTTGATGATCTCTTATTGTCTGTACATATTTGTGAATGAAGGTGTCATAGCTAATGGGGATTTCCTCTGCCTTTACGGTTTGCCTTGGGATTGCCAAGGGAGGAATAGATTCTGCATGACCTGCATCCTTCTTGCTGAGTGTTGTGATCTACTGCCATTTTGTCAGTAAAATACTGTCCCATCCACTCTTTGTCTTACAGAAAGTAGTCAGGTCTCTGTTCTCTTATTCTCAGTACTGTAATGGTTTTTCTTTTTTGTGTTTCTTTACCATCATATAAATGGGATCTGAGGGAGGAAGATAAGTGTGTGCACAGTCTCACACTGAGTGTTAACTGATGTTTATTACTGCTTATTCAACTCTTGATCTTCTATATTCTGCTGTCGAGAGAGCAAAAAGGATACCTAAGTTTCTCATGTAGTACTTGGATGCCAATAGCCCCAGGCCTGCCCAAGTCTGGGTTTCACATTTCCTTTCTTTGCCTGTTTCAGGCCTCAAAACAATTTTGTAACTTTTCAAAGTGTGAGAATTAACTTTCTTCCTTGGACTAGTTTGATGTGCTCTATCTAGTTAATTTCTGTGTCTCCTTTTTTATTAGTAATAACTTGACTTTCTGTTCTGTATGTTTCTGCCATTCATATTTATAAGCTGCTTTTATGGCTTTCAAATATGTAATAATAACAAAAGTTCTAAGAAGTCTTATAAAGAATAAAAGTATTCTTTTCTTTTTAGTTTGGAGAACAGGGAAGAGCAGAAAAGGAAAGGGAAAAAAGAGAGCTGGCCAGGCACAGTGGCTCACACCTGTAATCCCAGCATTTTGGGAGGCCCAGGTGGGTGGATCACTTGAGCTCAGGAGTCGAGACCAGCCTGAGTTACATGGTGAAACGCTGTCTCCACAAAAAAATACAAAAAATCAGCCGGACATGGTGGCATGTGCCTGTGGTCCCAGCTACTCTGGAGGCTGAGATGGGAGGATCACCTGAGCCCAAGAAACAGAAGTTGCAGATTGCGCCACTGCACTCCAACTTGGGCAAAAGACGTATACCCTGTTTTTAAAAAGAAAAAAAAAACATGAAAAAAGAGAATAAGAGAGCTAAGGGCTAACTTCTGAGTCTGGATAAGTTCCTGAGAATGTTGACATTTCTATGATTAGCAAAGCTCAGTTCCCTTCTCCTGCCTGATAAATGATTCAGCTGAATATGCTTTCTTTCATCAGGATCTGCCCCCACCCCATAATTGTGAATATTTTAGTATTCAATTGAACAGATGAATTTTAGGAAATGGGATGGGGTTGGTAGAGCTAAGAGAGAACTGTAAGACATACTCTCTGCCTCAGAGAGCTCAGTGCATGGACTGGTTAGGGATACCACATTTAGGGCACATGCAGCAATTTGTGATCCATTCATGACAGTATATCATTATTAGGATATATATTAACTCTAAATGTAGTTAAGGGTTCTGCAAAAGTTAGGAAAAGTTAGGGCTTGCATTGGGCTTTAAATGGGTTGAATTTGGGATGAGGGAGAAGCCTGACAATCCAAGGAGTGGAGGAGCTTGTGGGAGCCAAGGTTCAGACATAAAGCAGACTCCAGGGGAAGCGTGTGAAATGACCAAAGACTACTGAAATGGGTGGGTGGGAATCAAGCCTGGAATTCTCTAGAAAGACAGCTTGTCTCCATAGTGACCTTGTAATGAGTTTTCACACCTACCAGAGTGGGTGTGCCAGGAAGGGATAAAAGGAGCAGGTAAGTGCTGAGTCCCAAACTAAAAGGCTTCAGGATGCATCACTGTCTGACCCGCTGTATCACTCTGCCCTTTTTTTTTTCTTTATAATATTTAAAGAAATTGGAGAAGGCTGAGAGAGAAAGGAGGAACTGTTTAGCAAAATTTAGTCTTGGAAAATATAATTGCCATAATTTCTCATTTAGGTGATTACCCACAGTCAGTATCAAAAGTCCAAAAGAATTTCCATCTTTCTGAGCATGCAAGATGAAATTGAGACAGAAGAGATCATCAAGGACATTTTCCGGCAAGGCAAAATCTGCTTCATCCCTCGGTACCAGTTCCAGAGCAATCACATGGATATGGTGAGAATAGAATCACCAGAGGAAATTTCTTCACTTCCCAAAACGTCCTGGAATATTCCTCAGCCTGGTGAGGGTGACATTCGTGAGGAGGCCTTGTCCACAGGTGAGTATTATGGTGTTAGGATATTGTTAGATTCTGAGCGGTCCTTAGAGCTCAGATCCACCTGTCATGTGTGGGTCGGTGGGAGTCGCTTTTCCTGTAGGGATTAATTTGTATTTCGCCTGTGTTCCAAGACACCTGTTTTACCTGGTTTAGGATGTGATGCCTTTTGAAAACTGTGAAGTGTAAATGAATAATATAGTTGACTTCTCACATATTGTTGCTCTAACCTTGTGGGTTGGATTATATATTTTCCCTTAATAATTATTTCCTGCGGTTTCAGTTATGGTTGGCTTGCTAATGAGCATATTATTATTAATGCTAATGAGCACTTATATCTCCAGCTTAGCCTGAAAATGACTTTCTGGACATCTCTACTTGGATGTCACATGCACATCCCAAACATGAGATGTTCCAAACTGAGTCATTGTCCCTTCAGCCTTGACTACCTAACCTGTGTTTATCTCAGTAGGTGGCACCACCAGCCACCCAGCTGACCCTGCTAGAAATCTCCAGGTCATCCTTGACCCCCCCTCTTTCTCTTATTCCTCACGTCTGGTCTATTGCTGAGTGCTGATGATGTTACCTACTGCATATTTCCTGAATCTGTCCATTTCTCTCCAACTCACGCTACTACTGCAGTGTAAGCTGACATCTTCTCCTGCCTGTGTTCCCGGAAAAACCTGCTCTCTGTTCTTTCTCTCCATGTCTTGCAACCTCTCTTCCCTCTCTATTGGTTATTTAAAAGTAATTGAAACAAGATTTTGAAAACACAAGACTGTGGCTTCTTTCCCCTCCTTAAAGTCTTTCTGTGACTTACTGTTGCCCTTAGGTTGAAGTAAACACTCCTTAATGAGGTTTATGGCCCTGCTTATCTTTCTATTTTCACAACTTTCTCTCCCTACTTCATAGTCTGAATTCCAACCACTCTGAATATCTCTGTTTCTCAACGCCACTTTGCCTTCTCTACTGTTGGGTCTTAATACATGCTGTTCTCTGGCCAACAGCTGCTTGGGAAATTTTATCATTATGAAAGAGGCAAAGAGCTGAAAGCAAAACAAGCTAAGGGCATTTTTTTTTTTTAATATAATGCCTGAAACCCATCTTAGACATGTATATTTTTGACTAAGACTTAAATGGCTGTAAAGAAGCCCCAGCACAACTTTATGCAGTCTTTGCTCAGTTTCTGCCTCTTCCAACATAACACCACGGACTATAAAGTCAGTATGATGGAGTGGAAGGGGAGAGGGTCAAGGACTCGTGACAGTAGGGATTATGTACATTGCTAGTTTCCCTTTCCCTGTATTATCCAATCTTGGGCTTTGCTAGATGTTTAGGCACCAAAAATACATTCAAATCTACCTCTGTCATGTCCTGCATCAGTAGGCCAGATGAATGCCAGCATTTTAAAACCCTTTTCATATTTTCAAGGGGAAAGATTACAAGCATTTTAAGGCAATGAAATAATAAGGGACAGAGTGTTGGAGAGCAGCCTAGGCTTATAGATAAGGAAAGACAGGAAATTATAGCTACTGACTTTGTTCAAACTTAATGCAGCTACTTGCCGGCTTAAGGGTGGAACCCAGAATACGGTCCCATTCCCAGCTGACCCTGTTAACACCTCCTCCAATGCTTGCATCATGTCTAATGTGCCTGCTAATTGAAATTTTACTTGGTTTTCTACAGTAGCCAATTCCTCTAGAGGCAGCTCATTCCTTTTAGAACAGCTCTGCTTCTAGAACATCTTCCTTGGGTTGAGCTAAAGTGTGTCACTTTGAACTTCCCTGCATGTTTTCTAGCTCTATTCAAGTACAGCAGTGAAAAGACTGAGGAAGAAGCATGATTTTTCCTTTTAACTTACTTGCACTTCCTGGTTAGGATAACCACAATCCAAATAAGTGAGTCAATCATTTTTGTATGGGTTGAATTTGTGAGACAGAGTCTCCCTCTGTCACCAGGCTGTAGCGTAATGGCGCGATCTCAGCTTACTGTAACCTCTGCCTCCTGGGTTCAAGCTATTCTCCTGCCTCAGCCTCCCGAGTAGCTGGGATTATAGGCTTGTGCCATGACTCCTGGCTAATTTTGTATTTTTACTAGACAGAGTTTCACCATGCTTGTCAGGCCGGTCTTGAACTCCTCAGATGATCTGCCCACCTTGGCCTCCCAAAGTGCTGGTATTACAGGCGTGGGCCACTGCACCCAGACTATATATGGTTTTTAGCATGTCATTTGGCACATAAGAGCTATCGAATAAATGGTAATTTATTAATTTTAAGGAAGGAGGTCACAATTATTTATTATAAGATAAACTCATTACTAGCCAAATGGTTAACATTTTGATAATTTTCGGCAGGTATTTTCACACACCTGCTTTGTGTCAGACACTATTTTAGGCATGGAAAGATAAGGTCCTGATTTGAAGGGACTCACACTGTAGCTGGTGAGACAGAAAATGAATGTAAACAGAATATTCCAACCTGTAGTATATGTCAAATATAAGTGTCAAATGAGAAGATACTGAACATTAAAAATATAGAAATTTACGGCCGGGTGCGGTGGCTCACACCTGTAATCCCAGCACTTTGGGAGGCCGAGGCAGGTGGATCACAAGGTCAAGAGATTGAGACCATCCAGGTCAACATGGTGAAACCCCGTCTCTTCTAAAAATTACAAAAAATTAGCTGGGCATGGTGGCGCGTGCCTGTAATCCCAGCTACTCAGGAGGCTGAGGCAGGAGAATTGCCTGAGCCCAGGAGGCGGAGGTTGCGGTGAGCCGAGATCGGGCCATTGCACTCCAGCCTGGGTTACAAGAGCGAAACTCCGTCTCAAAAAAAAAAAAAAAAAAAAAAAAAAATAGAAATTTAGAATAATATGGTCCTGAATAGAAAAAAGTCCTCCAAAAAAAACCCCACAACTGGTTGTTCATTTGTTTTCTCTCCATAGTATTTATTCATGCTGTATTTTTGGTAACAATGGCTTTCTTCCCCTCATGCATTTTTCTTTGCAGATATTTGCAATCTGGGTTATAAAGGTATAGGGGAATATACCAGTAGTTTCTCAAAACTGCAGTTAAAGCTCACTGCTGTTGTTTATGGAAATGTTTGAGTAGGAAGTCTCGGCTGTTTGTTATCTCCTAATATCACACTCTGTGCTGCCGATTTCTATTTGTATCAGCAACTTAAAATGTGGCAACTTCAGTGCTTAAGCATAAATCTAGTTTCACTGTGTTTGTGACAAGCTGATCAGAGTCAGACTGTCCTTGGTGTAGCCTTTATTGTCTGTTTATCTTTCTTGTTTGCTCACATTATCAGAGCTTAGAAGAGTGAGCCTTTGTGTCTTCAGTTGCAATTATAAGTTCCTAAGCAAAAATTTCCCATGGGCTATTCTTGTATTACATAAATAGCAAAAGAAATAGATTGCTAAATGAAACAGAGGGTCTGATTCTTTCCCAAGTTTATACTTAAGATAAGGGCTGCTTGGGCAATTATATTAGCCAGGAATTTTTCCAGTGCAAGTATATAGTCCGATTCAACCTGACTTAAGCAGAAATGAGATTTTATTCGCCCAGAGACTGCAAAATTCACAGAAGGGCTGGCTAGATCAGTGGCATTAGGAGCCAGTCTATCTCTGCCTTTTGGCTTTGCTTCCATCTATGTTAGTTTCATTTTCTGGTGCCACGTGGTGGCCCATGGCAGCTCTAGTTCCATGGCATCCTTACTGCCAGCAATAAATAACCACTTTGTTATTGTTCTGCTCCTAACTCTCCTTGACCCAAGCGAGCATCTTGAAATTAATCACTATGGCCAGAGATATGGAATAGGCTGACTGGCTTAGGCCTGCGTCTTATGTGCCCATCCCTGACCCATTCTCTGTGCCCAGGAAGAAAAGAAATGCCAATTGACTTAGACTAGGTCATATACCCATCTCAGCAGCCCTACTTAAATCACTGAGCTGAGAGCAGGGTGAGTGTTGTATTTCCAGAACAGTGGCAATGGATACTGGTGAGTCAAAAACCAAACTCACCTATGCTGTCAATCATTTCTGAAATTCTGCAGAACAAAGTAAGCTCTTTGCAGTCATAGCTTTGCCAGTGCTAATTTTTTTTTTTTGAGATGAAGTCTTGCTCTGTTGCCCAGGCTGGAGTGCATGGTGTGATCTCAGCTCACTGCAATCTCTGCCTCCGGGGTTCAATCAAGTCTCCTGCCTTAGCTGTTAGCTGGGACTGCAGGTGCATGCTGCTATGCCTGGCTAATTTTTTGTATTTTAGTAGAGATGGGGTTTCACCATGTTTCCCAGGCTAGTCTCAAACTTCTGAGCCCAGGCAATCCGCCTGCCTCGGCCTCCCAAAGTACTGGGATTACAGGCATGAGTCACTGTGCCCAGATGCTGATTTTTAATTTATGATCTTCCTGTAAGCTTTCTGGGAATCAATATCTATGTTTGGGTACCTGAGCCATAACTTAATGATCATAATGAAGACTTTCTTGTCTTCAAATAAAACATTTTAAAGTAATTGAGTGGGGCATCATCAAGGACAGTCTTTGAACAACCCTTCCAGGTTGTTCATGATCAGTACTTTTGGGAGGATTATGATTGGTTCACTGTGAATAACTCACATTGACTTCATTTCTTTGTTTGTTAGGGGTACATGGCACCTGCAAGAATATAATAAAAAATGGTGGGTATGGATTTCATCAAGGCCTTTGATAGAGTCATGATATCTGCAGGAGGCTGGAGAAATTTGAATTGGGTCATACTTTATTCAGAAAAGATGTGTAGAGCACCTGCTCTGTGGGAGGTGTGGTGGGGACATAGCAGGGAACAGCATGGAACTGGTCCCCAGTGTTGTGGAGTTAACTAGTCCGTTGACCTCACAGAAATAGGTTTGTGCTGGGGTGTAACAGGGCTCTCTCCTTTGTGTTGTCCTGTTCAACTTTTTGTTGAACTTTTAGCTTTTCTCTACTTTTGTTGAGCACTTAGATGTCTCACTGTTCCTTATTTTC